AGATAGTACATTAAGGCTGAGCTGTGCAGAACAATGTAAACACAGCCGTCTCAGGATACTGGTGCTGGGAAGGGGGGAGGGGGTGTTGGCTTGACATGGGGGCTATTCCTGGGTCTTCCTGGGAGTGATCATCATTGCTCTTCCCCCTTACTATAATCCTTTCCAACTAAACACAGGAAGGAAGAGATAGGTAAATAACTTGATCTTCCGATAAACTAATTTCTTTCCCACTCTACATTTTTATAAAGCTTGTTATGCTTGAAAATACAGAGGCGTGGACTTTAGTGGAGTACAGGAGTTCACATGGGCCATGTGAGCTTATGCTGTAGTGAGCCATATGTTTGCGGAATGCATCACAGAGAAACAGTAATCCTGCTCAAGACATATTTAAAAGGAAGCCTGATGAAGTTATAGAAAAAAATGGGTAAGGAAACAGAAGCTGAGAGACAAAGAGGCCACTTTGTAGAGAAACAGACAGGAGTTGATCCTGAACCTCCTGTGGTTTCTTCTGTGAGCAAATCTGCATTGCTCCAGGGCTAACAAACTCACAGAGAGGATAATACACGGGCTGGATGAGGGAGAATGTGGTACAGAAAGTGGATGGATGGGGAGACGGTCAGTCCAGGTCAGTCCAGATGTGAGGCTGTTAAACAGTAGGGAACTAGAGGAGGTCAATGGTGGACATCTCAGGGCAGCACCCCGAAGTCATTCACACCCCTTTGTTACAATCTGGAGGAAAATAGAGCAAACAGCAGGGACACAGTGGTGACGGAACATAAGGGGGAATGTCTGGGATGTGGGGATAGTCTCCATACCCTGGGGAAAGGCCAATTACAGGCTTAAAGCCTCCTGCCTGTCTCTGGCATGCAGTTCAGATAAGATGAAAGTTACTTGGGACCAATATCAACATTTTTCCCCTCTGTCACCATAGGAAATGATGCAATCCAGATGTTGCATATATAACTGCATGAGCATACGTATTGTGGGTGCACTTTCTTATAGCTTTATATAAAAGGAGATGACATGGGTTTTTATTGTCAAACTACTAACATACTGCAGACCTGCAGGTTTGATTCTCTGCAGATCATTGTACATCCAAGAGTGTCAAGGGATAAAGGTTGAGGGTCACGAGTCTTTAGGGCAGAGCCCACTGACACTGTCCTGGGGGTTATTAATGGAGTGTTAGGGTCACCAGGCTCCACCCTGGCTGTATAATAATTTATAACACAGACGTCACCAAATGCATAAACAAATAATAAAAGAAAAAAACAATTCTGGACTTATCTTGATGAATTAACCATGCTTCATGGTGAACTGTTGGTTTTCAGTCTGCTTGCAGAATAATTTGTGGACGATTATGAAAGAGGGTCTCACAGGTTGAGCATTTTTAACTAAATAGTTTCTGTGGAAATATTGCACAAAAGCCCCATTTAAACAGATTTTAGGATAAGACTGATTCAACACTCTGTCAGCTCAAAAGACCCAACTAGGGAGCAGCTGCAATCAAAAAGTAGCATTTCATGTAATTTTTCCTGAAATTTGCAGGTCAAACTCTCT